TTAACTCATTATCAGAGCCTATTACTTGACACTCCAAGGGTACAATTCTTAGCCCCAACAGTTTTAAACCCTGCCTCCCTGCTACCTAACCCTGACCTAGATAAGCCTCTGCACGACTGCTCAGAAATACTCGCAGAGGTAAATACGGTCAGAAAGGACTTGTGAGACTGCCCTTTGGAGAACAGTGACTTCATCTGGTTCACGGATGGAAGCAGTTTCATACAGGATGGACTAAGGTATGTGGGGGCCGCTGTGGTAGACAGCCAGGAAGAAATTATTTGGGCCAACGCTTTACCTCCAGGAACTTCTGCTCAGAAAGCTGAACTTATCGCCCTGGCGGAAGCATTGGAAAGGGCAGAGGGGAAGAGGCTAAAGGTGTATACTGACAGCCGGTATGCATATGCGGCTCTTCACATACATGGTGCCATCTACCGGGAGTGTGGGTTCAGAACCGCAGAAGGAAGAGAAATAAAGAACCAGACAGAGATCTTCTGTTTACTGTCAGCCATGACCCGGCCACGAATGGTAGCAGTCGTTCACATCCCGGGACATCAGAAGGGACACTCCCCTGAGTCAAGAGGCAACCAAGAAGTGGACCAGGCAGCTAAGAAAGCTGCCCTCCAAATGGTACGAACTTTAGTAACTAATTTACCTTGCCTGCAACTGGAACCCCTGCCCCCCACTCCCAACTACTCTGAACAAGACATACAGTGGGCTGAAAAATCACCACAAATAGAAAAAGATCAGAATGGATGGTATATGGAGTCAGAGAGAAAGCTGATTCTCCCAGAAGAATTGGGGCGGCATCTTCTCACACACCTCCACCGAGTGACTCACTTAGGGGAAGGGAAAATGTTGGAGTTACTGGACAAAGGGCAAGTCCGTATACACCATCAGAAGCAAGCGGCTCAGAGTGGGGTAGACCGGTGCCGGGCCTGTCAGGTCATGAAAATAGGGAAGAGGAAGAACAAACATGCAGGTACGAGGGTAAGGGGGAGGGAGCCAGGCTGTCATTGGGAAATAGATTTCACTGAAGTTGAACCAGGTAAATATGGATATAAATATCTCTTAGTGTTAGTGGATACTTTCTCGGGATGGGTGGAAGCTTACCCTACTAAAAGGGAAACGGCAGTAATAGTAACCAAGATTTTTTAGAAGATATAGTATCCAGATATGGAATGCCTAGGACGTTAGGATCAGACAATGGACCAGCTTTTGTAAGTAAAGTTATCCAGGGCTTAGCCTCAACTCTGGGGGTAAATTGGAAACTACATTGTGAATATAACCCTCAGAATTCGGGGCAGGTAGAAAGAATGAACAGAACCATAAAGGAGACCCTATCTAAATTGGCAATAGAAACTGGCGGAGACTGAGTGACCCTCCTTCCCTTTGCACTCTACCGGGCTAGAAACACCCCGTATACTCTGAATCTGACCCCATTTGAAATAATGTATGGGACGCCATCCCCTATTATTTCCAACCTGGAAAAATGTCCCAATGAGTTGTCAAAAGATTTAGTCTTAGGGATGAAAAGTCTCCAAATAATTCAAAAGGAATTATGTCCCAAACTCTGAGCCATATATGAAGGTTCTCTTAGTGAACAGGGAATTGACCATGGGATTGAACTGGGATACTGGGTGTGGGTAAAGAGGCACCAGCAAAAAACACTGGAACCGAAATGGAGGGGACCTTATGTTGTTGTTCTTATAATCCCTACTGCCCTAAAGGTAGACGGAATCAGTGCCTGGATACATCACTCTCACGTCAGGAAAGCTAACTCGCCGGAACAGCAGTCAGCACGAATAAACTGGAGAGCACGTTCAGACCCTGAAAACCCATTGAAGGTCAGATTGACTCGAAACAATGAGGATTGAAACTTTCATCTTCGCCTTAAGCCTCTGCCGCCTTGGAACCAGCACAACTGTTCATCAGCCTTTCAAGGTTACTTGGCAGATTCACTATGGACGAACCCATGACACTTTGAACTCTACTAACTCTACCACCCCCCTTAACGTATGGTGGCCTGATTAGTTTTTTTCCCTTGGAAAAGCTACTGAATGTGGGTGGGCCAGATGCCATATCAGATCTATGGGTTTTTACGCTTGCCCGGGGTATAAAAGAAATATCTGACAATGTGGGGGGCTCCCTTGGTATTACTGCAAAAGTTGGAGCTGTGTAACTTCTAATGATGGGAACTGGAAGTGGGAGGTGAACGCCAATGATTACGTAAAATTCTCCTTTGCCGACAGCCCAGCCAGATGTACAGACCAAGCTTCAAATGAAGAAGGGGACGAGCAGATAAAAGTTACATTCACTGAGCAAGGAAAAAAGGAATTAACCAAGTGGAAGTCAGGGCTCAGTTGGGGCATTCAGGTTTATTCATACCCTCACCCATCTGGGGTAATAACCATTTTACAGGAAATAGAACCCTTAGATACCAGGTCGGTAGGTCCAAATGAAGTGTTAAACCCCCCGGAAAAAGGAATCCTACCCCCCATGAGAAAAACGTTGAAAGAATAAAGCACTGTAACCCCTGATATTACAGTAAATGTCCCCCATACAACTCCGAGGGTCCAAGCCAATCCTCAGAACATAGACCCTCTTTGGAATTTAATGCTAGCAGCCTACCAAACACTTAACCATACTAGTCCTAACCTGACTCAAGCCTGTTGGCTTTCTCACCATGTAAACCCTCCATTTTATGAAGCAGTAGGCATTAATACCTCTTTCAGCTATTCTCATGACCTGAACCCAAAGAATTGCTCCTGGAAAGACTGTAAGGTAGGAGTTAGCATACAACGTATAACAGGAAAGGGCTTATGCGTGGGGAAAACCCCCAACACTCAAGAACATTGCGCCTCATATACAGAAATAAATTCGTCCTTTAACTGGATCATTCCCAGGGAAGGGGGTTGGTGGCTTTGCTCAGGAGCTGGACTTTTACCTTGTTTAAACTTGAAAATACTTAATCAGTCCTCAGATTATTGTGTACTAGTAACTGTTTTACCCCAAATTCTTTACCACCCAGAGGAAGAGATGTATGTACACTGGGGCGGGACAAATAGAGTAAAAAGGGAACCAGTAACTGCAGCTTTTACTTTAGCCACTTTATTTGGCTTAGCAGGGGCGGGTTTAGGAGTGGCTTCATTGATTTTGCAGAATCAAGGCATGACTTCCCTGAGAGCAGCTATAGACGAGGACCTTGAAAGAATAGAAGCCTCTATCTCCCATTTAGAGAAATCTTTAACCTCGCTATCAGAAGTAACATTGCAGAACCGGCGGGGGTTGGAGCTTCTGTTTCTCCAACAAGGGGGATTGTGTGAAGCTCTAGGGGAAGAGTCTTGTTTTTATGCCGATCATACGGGAATAGTTCGTGAATCTATGGCCAGGGTACGAGAAGGACTTGCCCTAAGAAAAAAGGAGCGTGAAACTCAGGAAGGATTGTTCGAATCTTGGTTTAATAACTCCCCATGGTTGACTACCTTGATATCTGCCCTCTTAGGGCCCTTCATAATCCTTATAATTATATTAACTTTTGGCCCCTGCATCATAAATAAGCTTATATCATTTGTGAAAGATCGAGTTAATACTGTACAATTCATGGTCCTGAGACAACAATATCAGTCTCTATCTCCTGTAACACGGGATGAAGATTCCTCATATGAGTAACAAGAAAAAGGGGGGAATGTGGGGCCTGAGTCCTAAGGAATGTGAGGCCTAAGTCCTAAGGAATGTGAGGCCTGAGTCAGAATGGCCTCCAGGTAATGCCCCCCAGGTAGTTCTTTAACCAGAAGTCTTTAGTGCTGGGGATTCTAGCATGTCCCCCACGTTTCAGGGCTTTATCTCCCCTCCTGATTCCAGCACATAACCCCACGCCTCAGAGCTTTACCTGGCTCCAACATGTCCCCCACGTCTCAGGGCTTTATCTCCCCTCCGGATTCCAGCATGTCCTCCACGTCTCAAGGCTTTACCTCAAACCCCCTCCCCTCCTTGTCTACACCCTAGCAACAACCAATCATTTGTACCCCTTTGCCTTGGTGTTACTCCACCCTATATTTTTCTATAAAAATGTAATAGTAGGAGAGCATGGGGTCTTTTGCCCAAGCTGTTGTGTCAGTGTAAGCTGAGACCCAAGCTTGAGCTAGCTAATAAACTTTCCTTTTGCTTTTGCATTTCATTATCGTGTCAGTGGCAGCTTCCTCTCGCCAACACTCCTTTCAACACCTGAGTCTAACATGGTTACCTATTGCTGCTCTGACAAGAATATACTACAAATGGGATGGCTTGAACAAATAAGAGTTTGTTCAGGAGGCTAGAAGTCTGAGTTCAATGTGCTAGGCTCTAGGGGCTGTGTGAAAGCCCCTCAGCCATGGGCTTCAGCTCTGCCTCTTATTCCCGGCCCACCGAAGCTAGAGGCATCTCTTCAGTCAGGCAGCTACTGACTGCTGAGACTAACAAACCCAAGGTCAATAAATAAAATGGCACAGTCCCGATGTTACCAAACCACACAACAGGCCATTAATTCAAATCCATTGAAAGTCCCAAGGTTGGCAGAGCATGGCAGGCTGCTGAACAACGACACAGCTATATGCACAGTTCAATTGTGCCATAAACTGGAGACCATTCTAAAAGCTGTTTCTTATATAGGGGAAGCAAAGCACACACCCAAAGGCAGCTACTCAGTTGCTCCCAGTAGATCCCCCCATGGAGATGATTACCAGTTTCATCATGGGGAATACTACATCCAGCTGCCTAATCACTCAGTCAGGCCTAGCCAAGTTGACACACAAAACTTAACCACCACATACAGTTTCCACATGGACACAATGAAGTTTTCTAGAATTCCCATTCTGTGCAATGTTATCTATAATTCAATAAGATCCACATAGTCAAATGTCTTTGCATAGTCGATAAAATACAGGAAAATAGCTTTCAGTATTTGCTTTCAGTCAAGATCCATTTGGCATCTGCAATGATATTCCATGCCTTCTTCTGCATCTGGCTTTTATTTCTGGGAGTTCCTTGTTGCTGTACTGCTGTAATTTTTTTTTTTTTTAATTATCTTCAGCAAAATTTTATTTGCATATGAAATTAAAGATACTGCTAGATAATTTCTGCATTCTGTTGAATAACTTTTCTTTGGAATGGGCACAAATATAGACCTCATCGAGTCAATTGGCTACATAGCTGTCTTCCAAATTTCTTGGCATAATCAAGTGAGAATGTCCAGTGCTATACTCGCTTAATGTTATGTAATCACATACAATTAGTATTTGTGAAGGAAAATTAACAGTATGGAAAAATAAACATTATGTAAAATAAAAGCTAGCTGTTGTTGTTATATGCCATTGAGTCGGCCCCGACTCATAGCAAGCCCTCCTTGGGTTTCTGAGGCAATATCACTATGGAAGTAGATTGCCCAACCTTCCTTCCGAGGAGAGGCTGGTGGGTTTGAACCGCCAGCCGTCTGGTTAGCAGTCAAGTGCCTTAGGCACTATGCTACCAGAGCTGCAAAAGCTAGCTACACACTTCTATTTGCAATTTATCTTTATATCTAGACACAAAGTACTTGGCAATATTTTAAGGAACATATTTTCACATACTCACACGGAGAAGTTAAGTGCATCATTGGAAATAAAAGTCTAAAATGTTAATGATATCTGTAGAAATATAATTATATGATTTTAGTTTTCTCTTTATAAGTTTTTTTTCACAGTTTCTTTTCTAAGCATGTTGTTGTTGTTATGTGCCATCGAGTCAGACCCGACTCATAGCGACCCCTCCTTGGGTTTCCGAGGCAGTATCACTACAGAAGTAGGATTGCCCAACCTTCCTTCCGAGGAGTGGCTGGTGGGTTTGAACCGCCAGCCGTCTGGTTAGCAGGCAAGTGTCTTAGCCACTATGCTACCAGAGCATAGGTAAGAAAAAAAATAGTTGTGAATTTTGTTTTTAGGTGAGGTTACTATACTTCTATTTTCAGTTCATCATTAATCATTTTTGCAGAATTATCATATAAGCCCATAATCACTATATTTCATTTAATTTTGTAATACAGAAGTTGATAAGTAGTCACAGATTCATGCTCTTGGACTTTCATCTCTCACCTTCATTTCCAAGAGATCAAGTGCCTTCCTAAAAAGTTTAAGTAGCCATATTGCTAAAAAATAGAGAATAAAGGAAAAGAAGCAATCTCTGACACCTTGAATGAGAAATGGTTAAATAAGCTGTCATCGTGAAAGCAGTACTAGATATATTTAATCCAATGGAATATATAAAGTGAAAGATTTGATCTTTTACTTAGAGTATAAATTGAAAATTAATTGGAGAGCTGATTTATTATGGGATTGTTTTTCCAAAGTGTTAAAGTGGTGAGAATTTTCTCTTCAGTTTATTCAAAGCAGTATTCATCTGAAGATTTGCTATAGCTGGCCCTTGCACCATCTCAATTTGCAGTGTCAGTGGACGGGTGTGTTGTAATGTTATTGTATTAGCCACAAGTGACTGGACTGAATGATTACTTCAAGACAGAACAGGAGATGTGGTAGCCTTGTTTAGACACAGCCTTAAACCATGAACATGCCTGGGAACCATCTGTGTAATGACAGTGGGGAAGATAGATCAGAGGAGTAAGGCCCTTCTGCCTAAGAGGACTTTGATCTAACTTGCAGATGGGGGAAGGTTGTACCAAACAGTTTTGCAGGCACAGCACAGACATGCCTGATCTTATCGTACTGTTAGAAGAATTGGGAAATATAGAAGGCCATCCCATTAATTGGATCAAGATACACTATTTTGTAGTATTGCCAATTTTCACTCCAATCTCTTTTAATTCTAGGATTTCAGACAGTTACAGGCTGGCATTTATTTAGTTAGCTAAAATTAAATTTAAAACATTATTTTCAAAGTTAAAAGTATACCTGCCTTTACAAGAACAATAGCAAAGACTCACATTTATTCCTTTGCCTCAGTGTTAACACTTAGATTTATTTCTGCCGTATCTGTGTGATTCCTTTTTTCTCAGAATGAGAAGCACAGCTGAAGTGCTCCTTGGAAGCGAGAATGGCCAGCCAAGCCTCATCTCACCCACTTTGGTCACGTTGTCAGAAGGGACCATTCTCTGGAGAAAAATGTCATGCTTGGTACAGTAGAAGGTCAATGAAAGGTGGGAAGGCCTTCAACAAGATGGACTGACATGGTGGCTGCAGAGATGGGCTCAGGTATAGTAGGGATTGTGAGGCTGGCACGGAACTGGGCAGTGTTTCGTTCTGTTGTACATAGGGTTACTATGAGTTGGAGACGGCTCGATAGCACATAACAGCAATGACAACAACAACAACTTTCAAGGCCCACCAATGCTTTTCCCTTAATATCCCATAAGAAAGCTGGTAAGAAAGCTTCCTCCTTTGGCACCAGCAAGAAGTTCAGACCATACTGGATCTGGCCCACATGCAGCACAGGAACCTTCAAACAAGTCACAGCACCTAATCACAATAAAAGCAGTCAGTATCCTTACTCTGATCCCTTTTCATACCTGCATGGAATCTGCTCTGCTCTCCCTCAAAGCCTCATTAGGTGAATAATAAATCTTTCCACACCCTTTGGATGCATCTGTATTATCATCAATCTCGACTCTCACTCATTGCTGTCAAGTCAGTGCTGCCTCATAGTGACCCCTCCTTGGATTTCTAAGGTGGTATCACTACAGAAGTAGATTGTCCAGTCTATTTGAATGTGAATCCAGCTTGCTCCTGTCGGCTAATCATAACACAGTCAGTGGTTTGTGCTCATCTATAAGAGATCTCAGAAATATGTTTAAGAACATATAAATATGTGAAATTTAGGTATGTTTTTCTGATTTCTTCTTCTCCAATCTATTTATATGCAATTTGTTTTGTAGTTCTTTACATGACACACCCCAGAACATTTGGCCTAGGCTTCTAATTACTCTTGGTAGACAGAATAACTCATAAATCTTCTTTATCTTGTCTTTAACATTCTCCTCCAACTGTTAGATGATTCTAGGTGTTAGGATTCCTACCAAAGCTGCAAATTCATCTTTTGTGTTGATTTGTCTGTATGCTTTGTAACACATTAATATTAATTGATGTCTTATCCTTTGTCTACCATTCTTTGATTACTAGATTGACCTACCTTCTAGAAATCGCAGCTGATACTCTGTACTCCCACTTAGTACTGCCTGCCCTGTGGGAGTGATTTAATGCAAGGTCTAAGTTCTTCTTGGTCTATGCCACAGAGCCAGTAAATTGAGTCACATGCTAAGATGCAGCAACATGCTGGGTTTCAAACGGATCTGGTCTGGAACTCAATTTATGATCTGAACTTAGGTTTGCTGATTCCTAGCCCAAGAAAGGATTAACAGCCTAGCTTAAATGCAGGAGGAAATGCCTTTCTCTTTTCTTAACCCTTTCACCAGGTGCATAAGCATTGTTTGATTGTTTGGATGACTCTTGGAAATAATCCTAGGATGCTTGGCTATGCTCACAGAAATGAGACTGAAACTTCCTTCCCTACTTTGGGGTCTAAGACCTTAGCATTCATCATTCAGTTTTTATACACAGGCATACCTCAGAGATGTTGTATGTTTAATTCCAGACAACAACAATAAAACAGATAATGCAATAAATTGGGTCACATGAATATTTTGTTTC